GCCTGGATGACTCGTCACACAACAACTACACACACGCACACGCACACACACACACTCGATAGGCAGATGCGCTAATTTGCTGCAAATTGAAGTGACCCCATAAAATGTCCCTTTCTACTTTGCTTAGAGATGCTGAGAAAATTATTCATAAGAAAGGAAAAGACTCGAGGGACTCCCTGGTAATCATATATACAAAAGAACACAAGCCGAACAAGACTTGTCAATGCACCAGCAAAAATTGGTTTCAAGCGGTTTCTGACCTAAATAGGTTCGGAAAATAATTTTTTTTTTTTAAATATACCAATTTTGGAATCGCACGAGTTACAATAATTGATTGGCATTAAAAAAATCAAATTCTAAGATTTTAAATCGATCCTGAAATCGAAATTTTTGATTTTTAAATTAGAATATCTCGGGAATGAATGGTTAGATTTTCTAGTAGTTTAGCTTTTCGGACTTGTGGGGATCTCGGCTGTCCATGGGCATTTCAAAATTTATTTCTAAATTCTGATCAGATTTGACAAAAATGAGATCAAAATTTGTTGATCATTTTGTTTTAATACCTCGAGTTAAAAGGTAAACAGGATGTGAAATAAACCTGCTTGTACGGATCATGACTATCGATTGACATTTGAAAAATCGAGGGGCAACCCCTCACAATTTTTGTAAAAAAATCGATTCGATTTTGAAATCAAAAATAATTGATTATATTTTGGAATATCCCGGCTAAATAAAGCCCGAGCTTGGAATAGTAGATAACAAATCAAAAACTAAAGTCAAAAGTAGATCGAAGTTGACATAAAATATTGGCAATGGAAAGGGATTTGATCACAACCTTGGCGTAAATTGGCTCGGATCACTGGAATACACTGTTGGCATGGAAGATTTAAGTGACAGAGGCAATTGAGATCCTATGTCAACTTACATTTTCTTTTAGTACCCTTTCTTAATTTGTAGTTCAGTTTTTTATAGGAGCTTTCGAATAGCGTTCGACACTATGCCAGACTGGACAGTCTGGACCATTCCGCACTGAATCTGCTGCACACCCGCTGACCCAAGCGGAGACAACTTTAATATATAAAAATATAAAAAAATAGTATTTGCTGCTATGTTTGCGTATATTCGACTTGTTTTTATGGCCTGAAATACGTTCATGTATTCCAATGAAGGTTTCTTATTAACAGTCAAAAGATTTTATTTGTACAATTTTATATAAACTTGGACTTCTTAGTTTAAAGATTAGCGAAGTTGCAGTAAGAAATCAGCTAATATATTTGAGCTTCGAAGCAAAGTCTTGTTTTATCCCCCATATATATATGTATTATTCAGCAGTATGTGCACATATTTTCGCCTTACGAGTAAAACATAACTTGGCCGCTTTGGCTTGGCCCAAACATAAGCTCTACAGCACAAAAGCTCGAGCAAACAATAAGAATGTCTGAATATGGGGCATTGGGCAGTAGACGCAGGACATGAGACACTACACATTGGACATTGGACACTGAAAAAGTAACGAGGCACCAAGTGCCACATAAATCACTGGTGCGAGTCCGAGTTGGAGTCGGAGTGAGTGCAAGACGGGGGCGGGGGCGTCAGAACAATTGACGTCAACAATAACTAACAATGATGTCAACTTGTAATTGAATTGATTGACAATATTTTATATGGAAGTAGAATGGACCAAGTGTATAGCGTGGCTTTTGCGAGCCAGTTGGCCCCTTCGGCCTTTAATGACAAAATTTGTTTAGATTAGCATTAATGGACAACGTACGAAACACAATGTTGATGGCCAACAACATGATGATGAGGGGCTGTGACCCTGACTCCATCTCTCACTCTCACTCTCACTCTGATTCTGACTCTGACGCACAGGACACGAGCGAGTGGTTGGTTGGTCATAAAAAACGATAAGACGACTATTCAATAAAAATACTTTAAGCGGAAAAACAAACTTGAATGGCGATAAAAAACGCACGACATACGCAAGCATCGAGGAGGGTCACAAAATCGACACACAACTCAAGTCCAGGGACACACAAACACACGCACACACACAGTGCCCCACTCCGCCCACTCGTTTTGGACAAGGACAAGGACGAAGACAGGCACAATATGTGCCTGGCAGGGGCACCCCTCAGTTGTGCTGCGCTTTTTAGTTAATGAAATCGTTTGCTAAATGAAACGTAAAGCCAAAGGGCAACAACATCAGCCAAATGGCCAAATGGCCACCCCAATAGTCAATCCTTTCTCGGCCAAGCAACAGCAACAGAAACAGCGACAGCCAAGCGGAAGCGGAAATGTGTCGCCGTTCAATGGTAGCGTCAAGATTTTAAAATCAAATTTGAAGTTTTTCTGTGTGATTTTGAAAAATCAGCCGCAAAATCATTTTAAAACCACTTCAAAATGACATTTGGAACTCGGCCCAGCCACATTCGAGATTTGATGTGGCTAACTGTGTGTGCGTTTCCGGTTTCCGGTTTCAGTTGCGCTCTCGCTGTCGTTGTCACTGACGCTTTGCCATTTTCATTGCCAGTTTTTATGCTGTGGTCTGCACTTGGCTTTTGCGATTAATTTGATGATTTATTTAATGCGGAAGGGTTGCTTCATTTTTATTTATTTCTAGGCGAGAGCCATTGAAACAACAAATTGTCTCGCCAGAGCTAGGCTGTGCTGAGTTATTGTGTGAGAGATCAAAATAAAATAAAAGGCAAATAAGAAAGGTTTTGCTGTATTATTTGCAATAAATATTCTTAGATAAGTTTAATTAGGTTAATTTAATTCAAACATCATACGAGAACAATCCAAGAATGAGCATGCGCTTAGAAATGTTTGTATATCAAATGCATTCCAATTGTTGTAGGGCATTTCTTGTGTCTGCCTGAGCCAGCCAAAATAGCAAGCATAAAATCCTTTCAACGAGCCAAAAGTTTACCGTGAAATCTTTCATTTCTGTTTTTTTTTTTTTGCATATATGCCCTGCTTGCCGACAGCAGCAAATTACTGCAATGTATTCCCAGTCAGGACAGTGGCGTTATCCCTGCTCTAGTCCCAGTCCCAGTCCTGGCCAATGTCCTGGCCGCAGTCGTATCTTTTGCATCTGCAATTGTATTTGTACTTGTTGTCTGGTTATCAACACACACTTCCGGAACTTAATGGCCTGAATCCTTTTGCTGCTGCTGCTGGCTTGATTTGCCTTTTTGAGTTTCTGTGTTATTGCTGCCTTGTTTGCCCAGGACACTTGTTAAGTGCATTGGCCTGTAATAATTCCATGCCCAGTTCAGCAAGTTTTTCGTGCTTCGTATCTATACCCTCGAACCATTTACTATGCACAAACAGGGCTTATTAGTCAGCTTCAAATGTGTCTAACGGGCAGAATAACTGTTTCTTCTGGCAAATCCTTAGCTTTAAATGGAGGGTATATTCAAGTCGATCACTCTTGTCTTATTTTTTTGCAATATTTGTCTTCTGGTTGTCTGGTCTCGTAATTATTTTGGATCGCAGTCGTGCTCGTTTATCTTACAGTTTGTGTAAATCATTTGCAACGCTGACTTTGAATTATGGAAAACTGGCAAATTTACGAGCAGCTTTGGAATAGGAATTGAAATTGAAATTGGAGTTGGTTTCTGATTCGGATGCGGATTCGGCATTTGCCTTTATGGCAAACAAATTGCTTGCCCCGTTTGGCAATGTTGTTTCTGCGTGTGAGCTGCTTCCATTGTTTGCATTTGTTGCCGTCTTTACTTAACGCAATTTATACGCTTTGTTTTTAATGCGCTTTTGATGAAGCCATCATGTCACATTACATCAAAAACTAGCACCAGGCAGCCCATCAAGTTGCCCGTGCAGTTTGCGAGGGTGTTGACACACGCACACACACGCTCGCACACACACAGCCAACAGACCAAAATACAATAACAACACAATAAAAGGCGAGCAAATCTCCAGGCAGTCATCCCGTTTCTCGCCCTCGTTGCCGTGCCCGCCACCGACTCCAGACCCGGCCATTTAGCAGCATGTCTCGCTACAGAAATCTCATAAACACTTTCCTCCGGCTTTGGCCGGGCGCACAAATTGAAATCTGGTTAGACACAAGGGTGTTCCTCGAGGGTGCACGAACACAAGCTATGGGCCAAATAGACTTAACTGGCCAAACAAACATTGGGCAAACGAAAAGCGTTTTGGGCATTCATGAGCAGCTCATGCGTGCAAATCAAAGCGAGCAACTGGAAAACGGACAAAAGGGCACGGCAGAGTTGGGCGGGGCGGGCTGTTACGACAACCTAGTCGAACAGATCAAATGCCAGCCCAAAATGATTAGAGTGGGTTTGTACACGCACACACATATGCACATACATGTTTAGTATATCTATTACAATGGTGCGTTTAGCCGTGTGCTAATGTTTAGCTGGACACAAATTGTTGGTCATCTATAAATTCATGATTCTGTTATTCCCTAAGCACATTGCACAGTCCATTAGAGGGAAGCAGTATCTACATATACTTTCATGTGTAGCTGGTCAAATTATCAAGATAGCGTTAATAATGTTAATAAAAATATTCCATTTAAAATAATTACGTTTAAATTTCGACTTAAAATTACAGTCAATATCCAGTCCTGCAACTCTTTATATGTATAACAAATCTTAAAACAAATTCTGGTATCTAAACTCTTGTTTATGTTTAACTTGCACTTTCTCAGTTCATTTTATTGGTTATCACTAAAATATTCAAAATAAGCTTAACTCTATATTAATACAAATGCAAACTTGGCCAATAGGAACATTCAATATAAGAAAAATTCTTTTTCGATAGATAGTATGTCCGATAGCTTAGCTCGATAGTTTTATAAACTTGCAGCAGCTGGGCAATCTGTTAGCCTCTCGTATCTCTAGGTTTTAATTTTAATCTGTGAAGGTTCAAACAACTCTGTGACTTTCCAATCAAGATCTTAACGTTGTCTAGATATGCTTAATTAAATAATAACTTTTTCTTATTTATAGAGATAGCTCAGTATTTGAGGATCCTTTAACAATGCTTTGGAGAGCGGCGCTGAGGGAATTTGATGGCGACTGATAAAATAGATATGTATCTACGGACAAGTTGCTCGCTTGTGCTGAGAAATCAGGTGAGTGCCGGGCTGCAAATTATAGCCTTGATCGAACTATTGTTAGAAATTTGCGCCAGCCAGCAAGCCATATTCCATGATTGGAAACAAACAACAGCAGTTGAAAAAGCGCATGAATGGGGAATTCTTAGCTTAAGACAGTCTAGCGATTGTCGGATTTAATCACATAAGAACATTTGAAATACAACTTTCAAAAAGTGTTGTAAAATACGAAATCTTAAAAGAAACCAGCTGCACGAACTCCATAATTCATGGGTAAGTATCGCACATCTCCAAGCTTGGGCTACCAATAAGATAAACAAATTTCTGTTTTTTTCGAGACAAATATAAACTTATAGTATAATAATATTATTACAATTTTTTCAGCGAAAAGTTTAGTGAACTAATTATTATTGTGGATGTAAGCAATGTGTTGGAAAACATACCACAAATATACATGAGCCAAAAAGTGGCAACAAATATATGGAAGGAGCTGATATCTTGCGTTGTTGGAGCAGGTGAGTTCCAAGCGCTGACTTTTGCCTTTGACCAAGTGTACCGAAAGATACCTAAACAATTAAATAGAAATTATTTCATTTAATCAATATTATAATAACAGTTTCATAATGCAAGACTTGCCGCAAGAAATGGCGTATATCTGTGGAGATTGGGGAAATATTTCAAAATTGTAATATAAATTGTTATTATTATTCTCTTATTTCACATATTTTTTTTAAGTATACTAATTACAAATATTCAAAAACCAACCAGTACATGTCTTAATGTACGCTATTGAGTGTAAGGAAACCCAGTTGGGCGAGTCCTTAAGGATTTTCTGAACAATCTCAAGTGAATTTCTATTTGGGCAACTGCTGGTGCATGATAAAGGAGCACGAAACGGAAATTTATTGGTCATTAGCTGATCTATCAATGGGCTAAAACGAAGCCGACTTGTTCAGATTTCAATGGCAATAACGACTGTAATGCGATTGAAAGAGAGAATATAAAAAAGCAGGGAGCATTAGGCCAATGCAAACACTTACTCATTGTCATTGCACTGCGAGTTGTTGGCTGCTCGTTTTTCTTTTTCGTTTTTTCTCTCTCTTTAATTTTTTTTTAGTGCTGCCTCAGCATCAACAAGAGCAGCAACAACAATGGCAATGTGTCATGCTTGTTGATTTGTAAGGATGCATCGCAGCGGTTGTCAATTGTATTGACCGGAAAATCATAAAGCTCTTTGTGCCCGGTATCTGGCAGAGAGGAAGTCAAATGGAAGCGACCGCGTCATGCCGTGGACCGACCTCGTCTCGGCCCTTGGTCATTTTGTTTCATCATCGCAGTTGTTAGTTCTTATATATTTTTCTTCTGTAAAGTCGGCCCCTCCTCATGTACGAACCGGAAATGTTGCCCAGCGCATTCAATCTTTGCTGCTCTTCGATTTTCTATTACATGATTATAATCCTTAATTTTTTACTTTATATATATTTGTTTTTTTCCTGGTAGTTTTGAGTTTTGTATAAGGTCTCGGCATGCTTCCGCCGCAAAAGTTTTTCTTTATTATGGAAAACTGTTTATAAGTTGACAGGCAGTAAACAGGATTTGCTCAGACGCAATCGGAAATGCTAAGACGCCGACCTTATCTCAAAGGGGTCGCTGATCGAAAAATTAACATTCAACTTCATGACAGGAAGTCATATAGTTGGGTGTCTCTTTCTCTCTCTCTCTCTCTATACTTGTCTCTCTTTCTCTCTGTGTGCGTGTGGTCTGGTTTATAGAACTAGAGCAAGTGCAGCAATTGTGTCACATATAATTTTAAGAGTGTCATGACAAATTTTAAATATTTTTACTTAAATTTGTTATTGTGTATGTAAGACTTTTGAAAGGTTTTTGACTGTCCCCACCCTTTTAAATATGTTAAAATGTATATATATAAGTATACTAGCGGGTATACCCCGGCCCTGCTCGTGGTACGTATAAAATAAAAAAACAAGGAGCCGAACCTCGTAAAATTCGGATGAGATTTGACAGTTTTATGGTGGTGGGAAATTTCGACCTATGTCTATATGGGATATTTGAGAGTACCATTTTTACATGAATTTTAACCAAGAACAATGTTGCCAGATTTAGATGCCACATTGATTTAGAGGCCAAGCCATGAACAAAGTCCCAATCCTTATGAAAATCGGTTGAGTATTGACCGAGTTATGGGATTGGGAAATTTTGACCTTTGTCTATATAAGATATTTGAGGGCACCATGTTCACATGAATTTTGACCAAGAATAATGTTGGCAGATTTAGATGCCAAATTGATCTAGAGGTCAACCCATGAACAAAACGCCTAACCTTATGAAAATCGGTTGAGTTTTGACCGAGCTATGGGGTTGGGAAATTTCGACCTATTTTCATATAGGATATTGGAGGGTAGCATATTTACATGAATTTTGACTACACAAAATTTTGTCAGATTTAGATGCCAAATTGATCAAGAGGTCAAACCATGAACAAAAAGCCAAACCTTTTGAAAATCGGTTGAGTTGTGACCGAGTTATGGGGTTGGGAAATTTTGACCTATGTCTATATAGGATATTTGAGGGTACCATTTCAACATGAATTTTGACTATAATTATTTTGTCAGATTTATATGCCACATTGATCTAGAGGTTAAACCATAAACAAAGGCCTAACCTTATGAAAATCGGTTGAGTTTTGACCGAGTTATGGGGTTGAGAAATTTCGACCTATGTCTATATTGGATATTTGAGGGTACCATCACATGAATTTTGACTAAAAATAATGTTTTTAGATTTAGATGCCAAATTGATTGAGAGGCCCAACCAAGAACAAAGACCCCAACCTCGTGGAAATCAGATGAGATTTGACGGAATTATGGGGGTGGGAAATTTCGACCTTTGTCTACATAGGATAATAGGGGGTAAAACCCGGCCTTACCCGTGGCACGGTTAAAGTTAATTCTATAAAAGATCTTTAAAATGAGTTTTGAACCGATCGGACAGTAAACAAAAAACTTTCATTCAACCGTTTTTCGCCAATTTACCACTGTTGCGGGCGAAATTTCCCAAATCGCTGAAACACGTATTCATTAAATTCTTAAATTAAGCTTTGAAAATAAGTTTGAAGCTTGGATTCTGCGAAAGTTAAGAAAAACACCTCTCCAATGATTTTTTCATAAAGATTCTTGGAAATAAATTTGAGCGCGAAACGTCATCCAGCAAATATTTGACCCCCATTTCAACCAAGGAGAAATGCTATTTTCAAAAAGTGTGAAACATCCCTCAAATGAATTTGAACAAAGATCTTTGAACATGAGCATGAGGCAGTTCGGATGCACCTTTATCACATAAGGTATATACAGTTAAAATTTCAGCTAGCTAGCTCTTACGGTTTGGGCTGTGCGTTGATCACCAATCAGTCATTCCGTCATTCAGTCAGTCAGTCAGTCAGTCAGTCAGTACATACAGTTTTATATATAGAGATGCTGGTTCAGGATATCAATTTAAGCCTGTCTGAACCCAGATTTCCGTAACTTTTAAAGGTGGACAGACTGAAATTGTGATGCATTTATGTGCGACTGTTTAAAGACCGATTTCCATCGGTTCACATGTCGACCCTCTCTCACTTTCTATAAAGCTTGAGCAAAGGGGTCGGGCGGTTGAGCTTGCAATTTGAATGCTTACAATCTCAATCTTTAAGATAGGGCACTACTTTTTCGATTATGCTCCACTTTTGTTGAGTAAATGACCCATAAATGACAGCGCCCATATGAAAGGACACGCACACAAAATTATTTTGCTAGAGCTGAGTGAACGCCGGCCCGTTCAGGCAATTGTCGGACACACCGAACCACCGAACCACCGAACCACCGGCCCAAGCATATGGCAAGCGCTTATCCATTTATGAGTGCACATTAGCCATTATATGATGCCGTTATGATTTACGCCCCACAGAAAGCAGTAAGCAGTAAGCAGCAAGCAGTAAGGAGCCGAGTAACCCACCCAAACCACTGAGCCGGTCCGTAAGCGTCGTCCGGTAAGTGCCACCGTTGTGCAGCTAAGTGGAAACTATAGATAATATATTTATAGTTGCAGTGTGAGGTGCATTGTCTCTTTGTCGACTATTTTGTATATTAAAATGTTGGCGCATTGAAATTTATTTGCCGATTTCTTGATTTATGACTTCGCATTTCTTTTATTTCACCGGACTCAACCGCCCAACCGCCCAACCGCCCAACCGCCCAACTGCCCAACTGCCCAGCTGGTCAACTGGTCAACTGGTCAACTGTTCGGCCGTCCGCTGGTCAACAAATGATGCGTCAGCGCTCGTTCATGCCTCGCCATGTGCCACACATTAAATGATACACTTACTTTTATGCTTGGCCCGCCACAGCCCATACCCCACACCCCTAGAAGGGTAATCGCTTAATTGAATGCGACTCTTTGTGCGGTTTCTCGTAGTTGCCGCCTGGGCTACCTGGTGGTCCGTCCGACCGTCTGTCAGTTGGCCAGTACGTGTTGTGGCCAGCAATGAGCAGATTTACGTTTCTACACTAGATCTTTGCGACAATTAGGCCAAAGTGTTAAAATTGCACGCAGATAATGGAACGAGTTTCTGAATTAATCAACTGTTAATTAAATCAACCATAAAAATACGATTTCATTAACCCAATATGCATCGCATATGTTCAATATTAAACGGGCTAAGTGAAATCAGATAGTTGCATTTTGCGGCCTAAAAAATCAAACGGTTTTATATATTTTGCAATCTTAAACCTTGAATATATATGTATATATATATATATTAGAAAGCTTTCGTGAAGGGTTTCATAAACCTTAATTTCTTAGCGTCAATGCGTTTTTAGATTTCTAGGATTATTCGTTGGAGACTTATTTCCCGCTATTCGGAGAATTCATTACCCTATAAGAAAAGAGGTGCACAAAGGACTAAAGTTCATTTGTAAAGTTCTTTCCTAAAGAAAATAGCACAATTTCATGCAATTTTGCATAAAGTTGGAAAGATAGTTGGAAAACTCTTGCATCTATTTGTTTTCCATTTGTTATGCTCCAGATTTTGAAAACTCCTGCAATTTTAAAACTCTTCATGAATAATAAATACTTGATTTACCCTTACCGTTACCGGTAGAAAGTGTGCAGCAAGCTTGAAAAGACCCCAAATCAAACTGCTGCTCGATCAATTTTGAATCTTTTAATTAATAAAAAGAATAATAAATTAATAAATAAGTACTTTGTTCCAACGACTATGGCAAATCTAGCCCGCGGTCGGGAACATTCTGTAACTCGATTGAAACGTGATTCACAAATTGCAAGAAATGCACATCGCTGGGCGAAAATGGAGTAGTTGACAGAAAAGTGATATCCACATTATAAATGTGGATGACAAAAGTTAAGCCTGGTAAATATCGCTGTTCATTTATTTGTGTAAGACAACTGATGGAAGATGAATGAAATAATCTGTTCCACCTGTTCGAGCTGTAACTAGACAGAGAGCAGGGCATCTGGCTGTCGGAAGCTGCCGACTATACCCTATTTCGTTGTGTTTTGCATACAGCTCTTAAAATGGGAATAATATTCATTAATCTGTGTGCATGAGCTTGTTCGTCGGACATAAAGTCGTTGGCTAACCAATCCCATTGCAGGATATTTGCTCCTGTTGCCGCTTGCCATCTCACTCTGTGGCCTCACTTTGGTGCACAGCAACAAACTGGCGGACACTTATTAGCCTCGAGTACATCAATCATCGGCTTGTTTTAATTTTAAAAAATCGCACGCTGTTCAGCGTATCGTCCTGATCGTCCTGTCGTATAATGCAACCGTCGCGTCGAGCCTGGCCTCTGCCAGGGGGTTGTTGTGCGCAAGTTTTAGCACTTAATTAAATGCCGCAGGCCACCGCCCCCCGTTGGGCGCCGTCGTCGTGAATGGAATCCCGCCCACTGTGCAGCATGTGCGGTATCTCTTTCTGGCACAAGCGCCTATGTATGTGTGCATGTGTGTGTATATCCTTGGGAAATTTCCGAGGCGCAAGGAAATTATTGTATCACGCTTAAAGAGCGCCATTTTCTTTTCGCCTGTCTGCTCTATTTTCACTTGAATTCACTTGCCGTTGGGTTGCTCGTGGCTTGGGGTTCGTGGTTGGAAGTCGCTCAAAATTCAACTTAAGCTTCTTCCTTGTGGTCTAGAGCTTGGTTGCCAAGGGAAACGGAAAACAGAGGCTGGGTGGGCGGGGCGTTACTGGCATATCTGTCGGCCCAAACATGCTTATGTTGCGGACAAGATTGATCTGTTTAATAAGCAACCTTAAATTTTTATTATTAAAAGTGTAAGCCTTTTTTAATCTGCTTTTATATCCGCCATGAAAATGTTTTGCGGCGCCCAACTTATGAATACAAATTCCCTGAGCCCTGCGGGCAAACAAATAAAAATTATGAACCAAACTCGGCTGAAAGCCTTAATAACAGCCCAGCGAAGACTTTTTATGAAGACGTGTAAAATACTTGCAAGAGCATTGCTAATGAAATATAATTAAACTCAGTTGGATTATTCTTGGGACGGAGAGAGTCCATGAGCTATGATTAAGAAACTAATGTATTGCGATTTACATATTTCCCGAAATGTGAAATATAATAATCTAACATGTCGAACATGTTTGATATTTCCTTTTGCACATTCTGTAAGAAAATTAACTATCTGGTAAATCATTTAAAAACTTTTCATTCAGCTTAAGCTGTAGAAGGCAACGTAAAAGAACATTAAGAACCCATCTTCGTTTAAAATGCATAGAATAGGGGAAGCTTGCCGAAATAGGAGAGAATAGTAACGCGGTAGTAAATCTCTCATCAGTCTGTAGTTGTTGTCAAAATAAAGTTTTGCAATATATTTTCAATTTTTACGTACGGTAGAGTTACGAACTTTGTTATGAATGTTTTTGAAGTACATTCGCAAGGCTTGAAGGAGTTTTCTCCTAAGCTTACACGAGGTACATACATATCATGACATTTATAAAAATTGCTTTGCAGCGCACTCTAATGTTAAGTCGAAGTTTAAAATACAGCACAGCTATTTGGATACAAAGTTATTTTAATTTAAATGCGGAAGAAGGGATTTAATAGCCTTGCAGACCCAAACTTTTCATAATGCTCATAGTGCTTTGCCGATATCTAAGAAGCACAGGGAAAATAGTTAATGCCGAGTATGGTTAAGATAACTTGAAAAACAAAAAAGTTTTCCATGCAACAGCTTAATTTTCGACAGATCGTTCATTTAAAAGCTATATGATATAGTGGTCCGATGTTGATAGGATTTTGCATTTATATGCGAAGCATAGAAAAACTAATAAATGGTGAGCTTGGTCAAAATATCTTGATAAACAAAAAAGTTGTTCATAAAAGAACCTACTTTTCGACCGATCGTTCCTGTGACATATGTACGGAGTGCTACAGAAACTGAGAGACTAGTTCGCATAGAAACAGACAGACGGACATGGCTATATCGACCTGGCTGTTGATATATATGTATATACTTTATGGGGTCGGAGATGACTCATTCTATGCGTTACACATTTCACGACAAAATTATAATTTCCTTTGCAAGGGTATAAAAAGCTGAAGACTGTGTTGATCGTGGCCTTATTATTATATTACCTTTGTAATAACGAGATTTTGAAAAATACAGAGGTAAATAAACCTGCACAAGGCAGTTTTCATAAAAAATCAATATTCAAACGAAAAACGAATTAATTTGAATATTCGCGCCAATTCGATCTGCGCATGCGTTGTAAAAATCTCGGCGCTGCCAACATAGCTCAGCAACTTGTTGCCAATCTAAATTTAGCATAAAATCCCTTATTGCCTCTTAGTTAACGGTAAGTTAACGCGCGGATTAATTTTAGTTCAAATTATTGATAATTTATCAGATATCATGCTTCGTTTTTAGAGTCTGGGTACAGAGTATTTCCCAGTCGGGCACTTTCGACCTAAGCATGCTTATTTTTATGGGAAAATCAGACCCATATGAGAAACAAATATACATATATACATTTGAATATATTTTCTTCGTCTGTCCGTAGACAAATGAAATTTAGGATGTGTGGGCTTTTAAAGCTGCAGGTGCTTGCCGCAAAACTGGAAAATTCGAAAGCCCTAAATTAAAGCTGTTCCTAAAATGTTTACCCTTGGACCTCAATCAGTCAATTGTGGAACTAGTTGCAGTTTCTGCTTAGTAGTATAACAGTTTGACAGGCAATTCCTTTCGTAAAGTGTGTTTAGCTCAAATCTTGAACGATTTTCGTGAAATAGAACAACTCGCATTGTTGAGTGTTAACACTTAGCCAAGACACACTTTGCCTCTCGTAAACTTACTCCTCTTATAACGGAACGAAAAAATGCTTCTTGCAACAAGAAATCAAGATAAGGAGACCTATAAACCATCGAACTTTATTCAGATAATTAAGCCATTTGTTGCAATTACTGCAAAGTAGAATAGTAGCATGACAGGTACTTTGTTTCGTTAATGGTACATAAGTTAAATTTTGAATGAATTTCCTAAAATAGAACAACTTGCTTCGTGAAGTGTTAACACTTAGCCAAGACACACTTTGCCTCTCTTAACTTACTTCTCTCTTAACGAAATTAATGAAATCCTTCTTTAACGAGCCCTTTATCAAAGTTCTTGCAAGAATTACTTCCCAATAGGTGTGGGACTTTTTTTTAGTCAATTTCGGAGCTTAATGCAGATTTTGCAAAGTAGTTTAATAGTATGGCAGGCACATTGCTTTTGTAAAGTGTTCATCAGTCAAATCTTGATCGAGTTTCGTGGTATATAATAACTTGCATCGTAGAGTGGTAACACTTAGCCAAGACAAACTTCGCCCCTCTTAACGTTACTTCTCTTTTAACGATTGTAAAGAAATTTTTCTTGTAACGAGAGAGCTCTTTTAACGAGACTTTTAATCAGTAAGTGTAGAATGTATTGCCGGTATTGCAAAGCAGTATAATAGTATTACAGGCAATTCATTTTGTTACGAGTGCGTAAGTCAAATATTTGGCGAATTTCGGGAAATATAGCACACTTTGTCTCTTTGTCTAATTAAATGCTCTTTGTAACGAGAAAGTTTTTTTAACAACCTTTTATCATAGTTCTCCCTAGAATCATTACCCACCAACCGTGGACCTTATTTAGTCCATGAAAGAATTTGTTACAGCTACTGCAATGAGTATAACAGTATGCCAGTCGATTCGCTTCGTCAAGTGTGCATATGTTAAATCTACAATTAATTTCCTTAAATATAACACATTTCTTTGTAAAGTGCTAATAATTAGCCAATACACACTCCGCCTCTCTTAATGGAACTTCTCTTTTAACGAAACAATAACATTTTCCTTACGAAAAAACTCTTTTAACGAAGCCAAAATCTAACCGGTTAGAACATAGTTCGGACACAAACCAAATATTTGGTGTAAGCTTTGGCTGAGCTTATTTCAAATCTGATTTTAAACAGATTTTCAAGTGTAACGGTATAAATAAACCACTCAGCAAATGTATGGGAAGGGGAAGGACATCTACAAATGAAAACTCCTCCAGAGTTTTCATACAGTTTTCATATCTTATTTTCGATGCGCCTTTGGAAACCTTATTAACTAGTAGATCGATTTAAGATGGAGACCTTTTTCATACAGAGATTTATTTATTCAACCAATTCTGCCTATAAATCGAAAGGAAATGGTATTTCCCTAAGATCTTGCATCTTGTAGATATCTGGATATAAGAAAAAATTGCTATTGGAGCTAGTTGTTATAGTGCTCTCATATGACGAAGATTTGCTAGTATACCATTTTAAAATAAGATTTATATTGCCAGAGTAATGTAGCCTGCTCCGAGGTGGGAAGCTAATGATATTTTGCTTGGAGCGCAGCTTATTAGAAAGTGGAAGTGGAAACAATTTAATTAATTCATAAATTATTTAATTAAATTTTTAATTAGCTTATCATTTTTAGGGGAATAGTTTTATCTGATTTGCAGACTAGCCTTAACAATTGTGGCTTATAGCTGGGCTACATTGGACTATAGAGAGAGAAATAAAAACACAATATTGCGCACTTTGCACATTAAAATTTATTTTGTCGCATTAGACAATTTTTTTGTAGTTTTTATTTGTATTTTACACATATTTTCACACACACAATTATAATTTTCACTTAAACTAAATTATTTTTTATTGTTTTTTTTTTATTTCTTTTTTAATCCATTCATTAATTCATTTTAATGCTCCGTTTTGAAATTTTACCGGGCCATTTATAGTTTACATACAATGCTTGCAGTCGTTAGTTGTATGCGTGTTTATGCTATTCAAAAAAAAAAAATTAGTTATCTATATATATTTATCCAGATAGGCATATAACATCTAATAAAAAGTGTAGTAGTTTTTTTTTCTTTCTTCTGTTTCGGTTTTTGGTTTTTTTTTTTATACTTGAAGTATGCGTTGCTCGTTTACAAAAAAAATTTGCTTTACAAAAAAACTATAGTATTATCCAAAGGCTTATTTATCTAGTAGACAATTACGAGTAAAATACTTGTAATTTTAATTATTGTAGTAAAATCGCTAAATCTCTGACAAGTGAACAGCAGCTCGCTTGCTTGGTTAGTTTTGCTTATATTTACACAATTTCACTAGAATCGAATGATTTAAAAAACTAAAGAAAAGTACATATATATATTTATATATATATATATGTATATGTCAACTCAATAGCCAAAGCTAGGCTTTAATTTCAGCTTAAGTTAAACTTTATTGAAATTACATTAGCTAAGAGTGTTTGGGCCAAGACTTGATGACAACAAAATGTACAAAAAAAACTCACTTCTGATGCTGCATAACATTTACCAAAGCATATTTAGTATTATCCAAAGCCCGCGGCATGTCTGTAGAACTTTCCACAACAGGCGTAAAAAAATTATAAATAAAATCAAATGTATTACACCTCGCTGCACAGTTGTTCAACACTCTCAGAATAAAAAAAAAAACAGCTACTGCACAAAAACATATGCTCATATTGATGAGGAATACCACATATCGATAGGCATGCCGCATGCCTTTATAAGTATATAGAAAAACCTGGACGAGCAACAAGGTGTAAAAAGCGTAATCAATTTGATGTTATTATTGCCCCTATATGGTTGGTGCAGCAAATGTTTTTAACATTTGCTCTCTCTTTGATTTCACATGAATTCGGTCAGCCAACAAAAAATCAACTGAAAATAGCGTATAAAAAATAATTGTTATAATGAACCAGCATGTTTTTTTCGCTCCCTCGCTCTCAATTTCTGCCAAAAAGTAAAACCCATACAGGTTGAAACAGGTTACGTGTTATTTAAGCAAGTGAAAAGTGAAATGAGGAAAACTTTCAACCATTTTTCCATATTTTTAATGAGTTTTGCGGTCAGAGAATGAAAATTCAATTTGATGCTGGCATTTATAATGTGTCCAACTGTCTCCGCGGTTGAGCTAGGTCGCCTTTTAAGCATATACAAATTGTCTCCTGGCTGTGACTTTGCCCTCGAGTGAGTCCAGACCGTTTGTAATCAGCCTCTAATCCTGCTAATGATTTGTGCTTCAAAGTGCAAGGCTACATGACAAGCGCATCAAGTTAAGAGTAATGAGTGGTTTTTGCCATTGAACCCCTCTGCCCTCTGCCCTACGCCCAGCCCACAAGGCAATCGGTTCCTAATCTGTTATCCCTTGTCTCCTATACCTCCTAAACTCTCGTGCTCATCATTGGCCGTGTCGCTGTTCCTCTTTCAATTCAATCAATCAAATTGCTTGGCATTTTTGGCTTTGTACCGGGCCAACGGCCACGCCCTCTACACCTCAGCCCCTCTGCCTGCGTCAGTCTGTTCCACCATCCAAATCTTTCACTTTTCCAAAACAGAAAATTCCTATTTGGGAGAGCTTGAATTATGAATTATTTATGTAGAAGAAACATTGATACAAATATTTTTAAAATGCTGATAAATTCAGCATTTTTTCATTTTCTTTTCCAAAAAAATTCTTTCTTAATCTTAACATTCTTACATATAGTACTGTTTTATGAAATTGTACAAAACAATTTCTGTTTGTTTTATCCGTCATGTATTCTTTCAGTTCGAAGAAGTAACTCGTTTAGATATTGATGCACATTTCTCTAGATGAGAGTTTAAATAGAATTCTGAAATATTATTAAATGTTCAAAAGATAAAAAAAGATACGAGAAATGCTCGACGAAAGTGAATGCTGGAACACGTCAGACGGGAATTTGTTTGCTTCAATTGGCGCACTGTGAAAAACGTTGACCGCCAACGCAATATGGTGACCGTGCTAATTGTGAGTTGACAGTTTTCCCCAGCCAGATGGGGAGTGAAAAGCGTAAAAAAGCTGAAATAAGCTACACTTGAACGCTTGAATGAGCTTGGTTGGGGCGATGTCAAAGATGATTGTGCATCAAATTCATGAATTCAGAACGCAGTCAGATAATCAAATTGACGTTGAAATATGTGAGTCTGTCCAATTAGCAGTTGTCCTCTCGTCCTGGTGGGTGCGGGGTTGGGGGGTGCTAGTGGTGGTTGGCTATATTAAAAACAATTTAATTAAATGATTAAAACATCTCTCTGGCAACAACTCTGACAAGGATGAGCTAAGAGGGGAAATGCACAGAAAATCACTTAAAAACTGTTTTCACTCAAATTGCGACAGTCAGTGGGCAAGGGGAAGGCCTGGAGATAGGTAGAGGGCTGGCGTGCTGCACGTGCACGTGATGGATGGACTGTGTCTGCTGACCCACTCCCTGGACCTGGTCCTGTTACCCGGGAATTGCGTTGCGACGGCAACGTCGCCATCGCCGTGTCACGTTCGTCATGCATGTAAATGAAGAAGAAGTTTCTGAAAGCCGCAAGTTAAGCAACAGGAGCCGGTCTGGAGCAGGGCTAGGAGACAGGAGACAGAAGGAGGAGGTTGGCTATGTCGAGGCAGCTGAATGCAGCTGGCAATGTCCACTTGGTGGTCAACGTTTGTGTGTTCATTCGAGTTGTCGCTGTGGCTGTTGCTGTTCTCGTTGTTGTCGTCGTCTTCGTTGTCGTTGTCGTTGTCGTTGTCCTGGCACATGTTGTTCATACGCCACGTTGTCAAGTGTCTGCTTAGTGTCTGCACGCATGCGAGTTAAACATGGCTCTGGACAGCAGCGACTATTTATATACATATACATGTCTTCTAAGTGCTGTCTGTCTGTGTGTGTGTGCGTGTGTCTGTCCTCTCATTGTTTTCGGCGAGAAACTTGCTGGCGATTTGGCTGGCAAACAGCAAAGAGGCCGAACGCCCAGCTGCCGGCGTAATTTGAGACAATGTTGAGAGCCGAAAGTGGGTGAAATACAAGCCGAAAGAATTAAAATTACCTGGCTTTAAAGCCAAAAATGCATCTGAATGCGACACTCGCTTCCGGCCGGAAACGTGGCGTTTGCTATTCGTTTGCCTGATTGCGCCACGCCGTGTCCATGTCCGCGTCCATGTTCGTGTCCGTGTCCGTGTCCGTATCCGTGTGCATGTCCGTGTCGTGTCAACGGCGCCGCTGTGGCTGTGGTTAATATGCCAGCCATTGTTCCGTTGTTTTTATCCTCGCTGTTGTTGTTGTTGCTGTTCTTGTTGCTGCTGGTCACAATTGTTGTTGCTGCTGCTGCTGCTGCTTCTGCTTCTGCTGTTGCTGATTGGCGGGCAATCCTTAAATGTCAATGGGACGTCATGATAATCACGTCTGGCGCTGAATTCCGTATGTCGATGAACACTTTGGACTCTTCGTTCTTCTGCTGTTTGCCGGCAGCGCCTCCTCCGCCCGCTTTACTGCTGGGCAGCACCGTTTGGCCGTGCAACTGGCCGTGGCCCTTCTGCAGCTGCATTTGCCGCGTTGCAACGTTCGGTGGTTGGTGCTGTTGAATTATATGCTGCTGTTGGTGCTGCTGCTGCTGATGTTGGTGCGCAGGATGTGCATGATGTGAGCGTTGCTGTTGCAACTGCTGCTGCTGCAGCTGCTGCTGCAACTGCTGCTGCTGCTGGTGGTGCTGCTGGTGCTGATGATGATGGTGGCAGATCTCGTGCGGCTTGACTACGGAGGCCACTATCACGCCATAATGCGACCGCTGGCCCATGCTGCCCACGCCGCTGTGCCGCTCCTCCAGCTCGAGCGACTCCTGCTGCGACGGTGCATGCTGCATGTGCATTTGGCTGCGACGCGCCAGTGTGCCCAGCATCTGTGCCGGTGGCGGTGGTGTATTCGCTGGCAGCGACGGCGATACGGCTACCGGGGCCGTGCCCTGGTCATAGCCGAATGTGGAAAAGAACCGCGGCGGTGGCGGCGGCATAGCAGCGCCCGCTGCGCTGCCACCGCCCAGCGATGATGAGCTGGACTTTTGTCTCATTAGCGTCGCAACGGCGCTGGGGCTGTTCGCAAACAGCGATTCCCTGTGGGGCGAAGGTAAGCAAAGAGAAGTGAAACATTTCAATATTTGTCTTTCATGTTCCTAAAATAAACCCCACACCCCCTGCAGCATACGCCGCGCCAGAGCTCAATCAGTGCGTCTGTGGCGGGCACGGGTGCGGGCACGCGCACAAGTTGGGGCTGGGGCTGGGGCTAGGGCTCGGGCTCCGCTCCCATCATCAACCATATGGTCGAAAGTGTGCGCGTGCCTCAAGCTTGAGGCAATGCAAAAACTGTGAACTGTGATTGTCACCAATATTTTCCCTGTTACTGTTGCTGTAATTGAGACGGTTGGTGTGGCTGTTGCTGTTACTGTTGCTGTTACCTTAACTGTTACTGTTGCTCTAACTGTTTATGTTTTGTTACAGCTAGTGTTACTGTTAGTGTTACTGTTACTGCTCATGCTATTGTTACTCTGTGGAGCCAAAGGTCTGTCATGGTGCGAGTGTTTCTACCTGTTACTATTGTAAACACCTCTGTTACTCTACCTATGTCTGCTAATATTCCAGTTACTTTTACTGTTTTAAAATATCTTTATCCCAGGCATAGTGCGTTGGGACATTTCTGCAAATACTTTTTGTTGGTAACTGATATATAAAGCTGTGACTGTTACTGTGTTGCTGCTGTTATTAAAGTCTGTTTTCTTCAATTATATTGTAGCTGTTTTACGGGAACTGTTAATTTAACTGCTACTGTTACTTTTTTTATAGAGCTATACGTTGTTTTAGGAGTGTATGTGAGCCTGTCACTGTTACAATTAATTCATATTAGTGACTGTAACAGTGCTAACCACTGCGAATCATACGTATAAAGCTGTTAAGCTCTACAGTTACTTTAACTGTTACTATTAGAGGTTCTGCGATTCATTTAATTTAACTTCTAACAGTTAACGGGAGCTTAAACCTCGATATTTGTGTTCAGAACTGATATTTGCATTTTTCACTTAATTTTTTAAAAGAAGACCTGGCATATGGCTAAGTTTATGTTAGCATCTATTTTGACAGTATAAAGGAAATCTTCTTCACTAATGCTGCTATATCTGACAATTGCGATTTTTATGTTGTATTTCGTAGCACTGACTCCGCTTCGGGTATGGCTCATCTCTGTCGCGCGTGCTTGCGTCATGTTTGTGATTTCTGTGCCAACTCGTCGCGCCCTAGTCCCTACCTTTCCCATATGGGAGCTCTGACTCAGCTGTGTACAGATGGCCCTGGCCCAATGAAGACGCATGCAAATACAAATATTTGCATCGATTTGTGTTGTACAAGCATCAGGCGCTGTGTTTTCGGGTCTTGTACACGTTGTCTTGCCCATGCCCCAGCTCATAGCCATTTCTATAAACGTACTGTCGCTTCATTCCATCATCAGCCGCCTCATGAAAACATTTTCATTGTTTTTGCTGTTTGCTCGTCGTTGACTTTGCAATTTGTATGATAGCATGGGCGTGTCTAGTGTAATGCACATATGCTGATGATGATGACCACGCCACGCCATATAATGCCCGCCCTGTCCAGCCCATATATCCCCCAAATCCCCAATACATTTACCTCGTTTGACAGCCCATATCACAGGCATTTACCGGTGCGGTCGCAATCGCTGCCTTTGTCATCAACATGTCATGCGTTCCCGTTGTCGTCGATGAGGACTCGCCATCGTCGCCATCGATGCCACCGCAGAGGCTCGTTTGGGTCATATCTGGATGGCGACGCAATATGCTATGCTCCTTCTCCTTAAAGTCAGCCTTGCTCGACTGTGTAGATATGGGCACCGCTTCGCGATAGTAACGATTCGAAACATCATCGAGAATTTGTAATGACGTCTGCGAATGCTTTTGTCTGCAATGCATAAAATCAATCAATCAATCAAACAACATAAATAAATTGCAAATGAAACGATCTACATTAGTCAAATCAAGAAATTAGCTAGAGATAAGTCAGCTGAGACTGTAACTAATATTTTTAAATGTTACTCTAGGAAAGCCAACTGTTAATTCTTTTAAAACATCTACAATAAGTTCAACTGATAGCATTGGAAATTTGACAGGTTTTAGAGTCTTGTAAATAAGTATTTCATATGAATTGTTTTCCTATTCCTTTTTTAAAATTCAATTGTTCTATTTTATTGTTGCGAAATTTGAGAATTTATGCAACTAAAGAATTCCTCTGTATTTCCCTTAAAATTCTTCTAAATTCATACTTTTAATTAAAACAAGTAAGGAAATATTTATTTTTACTGTGGCACACATCATTTGGAGGTCATCCCATGTCACCTGCAAACTGAAGTCTTTGTATAAATATTTAAAATGCTGTCTTCATTTGAAGTTGAAATTATTAACTGCCTTTGTTTATTCTGTAACTTTTCAAGCTCGCAGCTTTTTGTCTTCTTGAATTGTTGTTTTATGCCGCAGTCGCAGTCGGTGGCTGCACACAAAATACTTTCGCAATGGGATTTTTAATTAGCAATGCAAAGCAGCTTCTGTAACCTTTTTCTGCCTTGACTAGTGCAGATAATGTGCTCCATTTATTTTTTACGGTGGGGTGCGAAGCAGCGTGCCGCAGTTGGTTATTCGGTAAATACTCACCTTGATATGTTCTCGCGCGAGCGCGCCTTGGAATTGCGACCCACCTCGTCCAGTTTGCTCTCCTTGGACTCGCGTATGTGCTCCTGCAATGACCAAGAAATGGCAGCGAAATGGCCACAGAAACCAATAAAATGCATGAGAAAGAGAGAGAAAGAATTATAGACAGAGAGAGAGAGAGAGGGAGAGAGACGGCAGCGATAACGAGATATGTATATACCCGATATATAGGTATAATAAGCGTAATAATAAATATTTTCAATTAATTTTGCGGGCCTGATGGCTTATGAAATGCTCTGGCTTGGAAACGTGGCGCAGGGTAGCAGCGGGTAAGGGGAAGCCATAAACAAAGCCTGCATTTCAAACTGTTTAAAGCAAAAGAGCTTGGTGGATGCAGCTTGGATGCTGGCTGCTGAATGCTGGCTGCAACTGGATGCTGCTGCTGCAGCTGCTCGATGTGTTGTCGCATTTTGTGTGCACCGCGGCGTATGCGTAATATTAATTTTCAGCGCTTTTACGCTGGCATCGGCTGTCAACTGGATTACGGGGCAGCAATTAAGTGCCCGCCACCTGATTCCTGGTGCCTGATGCCCGACATCCCCCCCCCCCCCCCCCCCAAGTGCCATCCCTCGCCCGCCAGTCAAGTCAACTGGCCGTCGCCGCAGTCGAAGTCATTAATACGCCGATTGTGCGCGAGGAATCGAGCAGCACTTGAGCGTGCATAAAAGGAAGCGTAAATACGCAAATACTACATAATAATGAAGGCGCTGGGGCAGGACAGAACCGAGCAGGATAGGGCGAAACAGAGCTGTACGGAATGTAGCTGGCCGGGTTGAAGGGGATCAGGGCAGGTCGGCCAACTCGAGCAGGGTAGCGCGCGGCTGGCGATGCTGGCAGTTGGCCAAGCTGAAGGAGTCCTTGCACTCCTTGCCAAGATTGCCGCATTGTGGTCGCCATACGACATCATTCCAAACTGCATTCATAATAAAATACGCAAGTCAAACATTTGATCCACGCTTTTCCCCCATTTTCTTTCTGTTTATTATACAATATTCCATTTCCATTTCCATTTTGTGTCCATCATTTTAAGCTGCTTGCAGTTTGAATAACTGCGACTAAAACTTCAATTATAACAAAAAAAAAAAACCCAAAGAAAGTAAAAGATAAAAAACCAACTATAATTTCAATTGATAGAAAGTGAGGTTTCAATATGCAAGTCCCGCAATTTTATATATATGTATATAACCTCTATGGACTTTTATAGTTTGTCTTTTTTGAGTAATTGGTTTGGGTTTTTTTATTACTTTTGCGTTTTCCCAACGTATTTTTTCTTACGGTCACAACTGTGACTAAGGTGTGGTGCGTTTTGTACCCTTGCAGAGGGTATTTTAACATAATCGTCTAATATTTTGTGTGATTTTCGAGATATCTAGAAAAACTAGACAATAATTAATCTTATTTTAAGATCTTACAATTGCCATATGTTTTGTCGCTTAGGATATTCAATTTGTAAAGCGGTTAGTCTGCAAGGGTATTAAAATTCGGCAGGCCGAAACAGGTCAGTTTTTGAGTTCTATGTCAATTTTTTGGCAGCGCCTCCCACCGAAGGGCGAGCCTATCACGAAAACATTTCCAAGAAATAAAAAGCTGTAATCACCAAATTTAGCAAGGTTATGATGTCCTAAAACCGATCTAATAAGCCATACTAGAAGCCCTTTTAACCCATTTCCATTTGTTTTTAAAATGTGAACAGAGTATTCTGCAGTTGTTCCCAACCGGTTGCAAAGTTTTTAATTATTATTGGCTGTAACTAGAAGTATTTATTAAATAGCTTTAGGGCTTATTGCTTTAAATGATAGATTTAAAAGCCAAAGCAGGATTTCTTTTGCTTAAGAAATATGCGTATAGAAATTACAAGTAAACAGATTTTTGTAAGTGTGCGTGTGTTCTCGGTATTGTTGTTGTTGTTGTTTATATTTTAAATAAATGTTAACCATTCACTTTGTGGCTCAAATTTTAGCTTAAAGTGCAATTGGTTAATAGGAATATGTATGACACAAAAGAAATGCTATTCTTAATTAAAATCTTGATTGTGTGTGTTTCTGCTTTTGTTTGAAACACTTTACTCACTGACTCAAGCGTCTTTTCACAGTCGTTAAATATGTCTTCATAAATATTGCATTGAGTAAATGCGCAATTATTACTATTCAATCAATTAATTTGATAACTAACACGGTATTCCATATATAGCCGACTAATTTTACTAATTTTACTTTATAGACTATCTAAAGTAAATGCAGCTAATTGTTGTCTATGCTCATGTATAGAGCATTTTAATTTTTTTAATTTTAGAAGGGGATCCCATAAGGATTGTAGTATATTATTGATCAGTATCAACAGCCGATCTATTTTTTGAGCTTTCTTGAGTTTCAAAATTCTCCACGCAAGTCGTAAGACTTCTGCCTACAAGGGTATTTAGTTATCGGTGTGCCGAAGATGATTTTAGTAGGTTTTTTAAAATAGATTTTTCGCACGCAAAACAGATTCACAAGTTTACAAATTTTAATAAATACTTAGGTTAAATATTATATCTCTCCCTTCAAATTTCATAATAGTTTCTTAAAGTTGAACAGATCTATTTTTAATTCATAAATTTTAAAAATTAACAAATAAACATAAACTGATTCGACATTGTTCAAATAAAAAGACAATTGAATTATCTTTCAAGAGTTCCAGTTGAATCGCAAGCGCAAAAAGAAAATATTCCCAATTTTCGTCCGAATGGAAAAAAATACAAATGCCAAATACATATATTTTAAGCGAAAAATATATTCAAGCCAAAATGAATTGATAGCGTTGTGACAACAAGGATTCTTTTGAAAAGAATTGTATATGACAATTTGTTGCACCTTTTAATACCTATGCTAAAGCAAGCCAATTGAAAGTTGAGTCGGATGCGGGATAAAGTGCGGGGCTCTTTTCACAAGGAATAAGCGTCAAATTTATCAACAAGGGCAATGGCAGTGCGAATGGGAAAATGAGATCGACTGATGGCAACCTGTTCCACGACCACGTTTACAACTACAAAGGCCACCAGCGAAGAGAGGGCTGTGTGTTTGTTCTTCTATAAAAGGGACGGGGTCAGGGGCCAATGTGGTCAAGTGATTGTGTGTGTATGTGTGGAATTGATTGTGCAATAGCTTGGACATTTAATGATGCACCAGCCACGCCCACATCTCGTCAGTGCCTAAACGATCCCAAGGTTTGATGACGCGACGCTCTAGATGATTTTATTAAAGAATTTCAAGCCCTTTTTGGCTTTTAGCTTCGACTGATGCATCTGGGCCGATGGCGGTGGCGGTGGCGGTGGTGGCGGCGGTGTTAGCTGTGGCAGTATGGCATCCGTTTCGGTGGATGTTGACGACGAGCACGCCGTGCCCGTGGGTGTGCTGCACTGCAGCGAACTAGTGTAGGAATTGCTAGAGCTGGGCAGCTCCAGCCGACCATCGGTTAGGGTCATGCAGTGGCCAGCGGCCAGCACGAATTCATCATCCCCCGGCACGGTGGCACTGTCGCTGTCACAACTGAAGCCAATACCATCATCGTATTCATCGTCCTCATTCTCCTCCTCCTCCGCCTCCTCCTCCTCCTCCAGCTGATGCTGCTGCTGTTGTTCCGGCTGCAGCTCCTCGTCCAGTTGCTCTAGCTGCTGCTCAAAGTGACAGCCATCGTCGTAAGCCAGCGTCTGCTCCGGACCATTGTTGCTGTCACATTCGTAATCGTAATCGCAATCGGAATCGCAATCATAGTCGCCTTCCAGCGGCGCCACCTGCTGCGGCGCCTCAAAGTTGCATTTTTGACTACTGCGGCTGCAGTCGCTTCTGTTGCTGTTGCTATTGCTGCTGCTGTTCAAGTCGCTCCGCTCCAGGTCATTGTAATCTTCATTCGAATGCTGCTGCTGCTGCTGCTGCTGGAGCTGGAGCTGGAGCTGGTCGAGCTGCTTGCGCTGCTCGTTCTCGAGATTGTATGCAAAGTCGCACATGAAATCGTTGTGTAATCCCACGAAAATGGCGCTTTTTGGAGCGCCCAAGACAAAGGAGTCGATGTGATAGACGCTATCGCGCAGGGCTGGAACATCCTGTGGATAAAACATATAGAAAAACAGAAGAACAGAGAGAGAAAGAAAGAGAGAGAGAGAGAGGGAGAAAGAGAGAGAGAGAGAGAGACAGACAGTGTGTAGAGAAGATGGTGTGAAAGAGTTCAATACCGAAGATGGGAAAGACAGAGAGAGAGAGAAAGAGAGAGAGTGTGCGTGTGTAATAGAAAGAGTGAGAGAGATATATACACGAACAGACACAAGAGTAAAGAGAGAGAGAGAGAGAGACAAACGCGAGCGAAAGAGATCGAGAGTTGTGCCAATCTATGGCTAAATGTGCGTGCGTTTGTTTGTGTACATGTGCGACAGAGACAGACCAAGACGATGACAATGAAGAGAATGAAGGAAAGAGACAGACATAGTAGCAGGCGATAGGATACAGGAAATTGTGGCAAGGCTAAAAGTGCATCAAATAGTGGCGCATGCATAACGACTCTACCAGCAGCCACTACACACAACAAGCACATTAAAGACAGTTATCATAACGATGTTGCCACAAAATGCGGCAAGCCACATCAGTGAAGTGAGCAAACCCGACAACAACTCGCACGAGCCGCAAATACCCAAACCAACTCTTATGTCAAATGCTTTGAGAACCACCTAAAAACTTGCACAACAAAAAATAAAGAAAAACCGAATATATAAAAATGCGACAAACAGAAAGCGGGGCACCATAACATAATCAAAAACGAGGAAAAAATTATAATGATAAGTTTTGGGACGCAACGAAGCTTGAATATATCCTTGCGAAATGGCTTAAACATATATTGAGACCAACTGCACTAGCCCATAAAAAAACGATATATGTATATGTACCATTGGTCGACTCAGAGATATCCTGTGACTCGGGAGGCAGGTATTCAAAATGGCAAGTGTTCTGTATTTGGGTAAGCCAAATTCGGCATCTTTGTTTCTAGACATTTTTTGTTA